CCATCACTCCTACTGCGACATAGAGCCATTTGTTGTCTCATCATCATCATCATCCTCTTCCCCATTATCTCGTTCATATGTTGGAATAAATCCAATAGGATCATTCTCATCTAAAAGTGGTAAATTTTTCATATGGCTCGAAGCTTGCATCGACAGCTGAGAAGGACCAGTGTCTTCACTAAAATGGATGTGAGGATTATGAATATGCATAACCCATCGAGATAGAGCCTTAACTTGTTTCGTCATCTGTGAAATTATACAAAACTTACTAATAAAATTCTATAAAAAAAAATACAAAATAATCAAATGATTTATTTGATATGAAACAAACCTCCTCGAGTGTTTTTTAATTTTAATTTAAGATTAATGTAACTAATTACACTAATTAAATTTCAAAAAAAAATTATAATGTGATTAAAATGTATAATTTTTTTTTAAAAAAATGATATGAGATGTGGAATGTACAAAAACGACAATATGGACACAATAAGTTAGACAAATGAAGTAATAAAATAATTATTTTAATAATATTGTGATAATTTACGATAATTACCAAAAAAGAATTAAAAAATTCTGGAATTGTTGTACACGTAGCACACACGAAGGTGCTATGTAGTGAATATGTATGTTTTTCATTCCTTCACATCAAGATTTTCGCATATATAAACATAAGCTGAATAAAATGAAATTCACACCCCTCATTCTCTCTATTTCCCTCTCGTCAACCTTCAATAATATCATACATACATAAAATTTATATATACATACATTGACTAATATATTATATTTACATACTAAATACACACAACACATATATATTAATTACTACTCACTTACTATATATATATTATATATAGTATATTATACAATATATAAATTAATGGTTAACGGTAGAAGTAATTAATAAATTTATTGGCTAATCCTTATAATAATATTACAACAGGAATATTTTATTTGTGGGGTTTTTGTTTTGTATTTTTTATTTTAAATCGTAAAAATTGGAATTGAAATAGTTGTTTGATGTAATATAAATACGTATTGATATGATCTTTTGAATGTAAAATTAAAATTTAGTGTAATACGTATAATAAATACAAAAATATGTATTTGATATGATATTTTTGAATTTTTTTTTGTTAAAAAAATAGTAAAACTAAAACAAGAAAAGTATCTTTTGGTGATACAATTTGCAGTGTGGGATTTGACTTATATATGAATGTACCGAAAACATACGAAAAAAGTAATAGCTTTTGGTTCCTATATTATAAAAGAACAATATATATATATATACAAATTATATTTTTTTATATATATGTATTAACATATACTATATTATAAATAATAAAATTATTAATAATATATCTAACAATTCGTGTATTATACAAGTTCAAACTAGTGTATATATATAATTGAGGGTGCCATGGTGTGTTGTTTGACAACATATAATATTACTACATACAACACACTGTATAGGTTAATACAATACAAATACATCACATGAACAAAGAACATATGATATAGTCTCAATAGCATATCGTATGTTATCTGACAGCACACAGTACAACATTTGAATTAACAACACATATTATAATCTTATACAACACACAACAGTTAATTTTAGCACATGACATACTCTTATACACCACACTTATTATAATAAAGAATAGCATATACATTTATTATATACAATATGTACTATATATAATAATAATAATAATAATAATAATAATAATAATAATAATAATAATACGTGCTAATTATACATATAGCATGTGCTGAGTTGAAAATTCAGCACTGGTGTTGAAGTTTTCAATTGAGGACCTTAACCATGCCCTGTATGATGATGAATTTCAAAAGTATAATCTCAACAACACTATAAAAATAGAAATTGCAAATGCTAGTATTTTGTGAAATAAATAAATAATTTATATTCCTACCACCAAAGTATTTCCTTTTTTTCTTTTTATATATAAAAAGTCTCGACTCATTAACTGATTCTGATGTGTTCAAGCTTTAATTTATTAAAATGAATATATATATATATATATAATTAATGATTACTATGTTCTAATCTCTTGGCCTAATTTTTTTCTTTAGTATAACAAAACAAGATAATAATAATAATAATAATAATAATAAATTGCTGGATATTAACCTAATAATTATATTACTAATAATTTCCTTTTTGTGCTAAAGTTTTTATACAAATAATATTTTATATGCGGTAATTTAAAATGAAATAAACCATATCACTGTCAACATAAGCAAACTAATTAACACAACTACACAATTATAACAACACAACATAAACAAATAATGTCAGTCTTAAAAACTATTTACATTAAAAAAAAAAATTGCAATAATTTTAGGGATCATAAACCAAAATACAACTATCATCAAACAAACCAACAATGTTTTTAGTAATCATAAATCAAAATACCACTATGATCATAAGCAAATCAATTAACACTGCTACAACTCCGCTATAATCATGAGCAATTAACACAACAACATAAAGATGGACCAATTGGGGTTTGTTTGAAATTTTGGAAGTTTGAAAAAAAAAAAAAAAAAAGTTAGTATTTGATTTGATATTTTGTGAGAGAAAAAATATATTTAATATGATATTTTTTAAAATAAATAGTGTCAAATGAGTGAAAGTGTATTATATAAATAGGCCAGACTTAAAAAATCTGAAAAATAAACATCAAAGATGTAACCATTTTCATAAGTAAATGTTCAATAAGTGTGATCCAAATTTTTTAGGGTAAATTATATAACACCCCTTCGTGTTTTACTAAAAATGCACAAAATACCATATGTTTTATTTATTGCATGAAACCCTCTTGCGTTAATGTAAAGTTTGCATGAAACACCTCCTTGTTCAAAATTGATATTTGGTTCTAAATAAATACCTAAACTACGCAAATTTTATACATATAAAAAACGTAAAATATCTTAAATATTTTTTTTGAATAATATAAATAAATAAATAATTGATCAATCATTTATGGTTATAGATTTTATAACAATCAGATAACAATTTTGTTTCAAAAAATCATAAAATGAAGGATTAATCAATTAATTAATTATTTATTTTATTTAAAAAAATTATTTAAGATATTTTGCATTTTTTATTTGTATAGAATTTGCATAATTTAGGTCTTTATTTAGAATCAAATATCATGGACAAGGAGAATGTTCGTGCAAATTTTACATTAACACAAAAGAATTTTACGCAATAAATAAAACACATGACATTTTGTATATTTTTACTAAAACATAATAGAGTATTATATAATTTTCTCAATTTTTTATCCTAATCAATGCAATTCTAGAGACGTTGTGCATGTCACTGAGAGAATAACAAATCAATCAACCAACTAATCCTTAACATAAATAATAAGAATACCACATATTGTATGCTAGGTCCATAAGGCTTTTGATATTTTAAAAAAAGTTGTGTAAGATTATATATATATATATATATTACGATGGAAGAATCCACCGCCGCTATTCGAAAATACGCACTGAATTTAAAATTATTAAAAATATAAGATAAGATAAATAAAATAAAATAAAATACACAATAAAAATAAAATAAATCAAAATTTGTCAATGCGCTACAGGAGATACCACAAGTTATTATTAATGTGTGTTCACCCTCCATAGACACATACACAAGCATATATATATATATATATAAACAAGATGTCCCGTAAGGGATGACCTGGTGGTGTGAAAAGTAAACTTGTGACTTGTCTTGTCGAACGCAGAGTATTAGGTAAGTGAGAGTAATGACTAAAATACAAATTACATCTTTATATGTATGTACATACAAATTATTTAAATAAAATAAGAATCCCACAAATCTCTAAAATTTCGAAAATATTGAATTCACATTCAAATATCGTCCGAATTACCAAATTATCGAATTCGGTTGGTAAACAAAAATTCGGTAATTTTGGCACATTCCTAATGGGTTGGAGTTGCCTTGAGAGATGATTTGGTGAACTTGTTACTATAAAATTATGAGTTTAAACCATTGATGTTTTCAACTTCACCTGTTCAATATATATAATATGTATTATATTCGCTCACAAAAGTCAACATTTGATTCAAAATATTATTATTTTATATTATATCACAATTTCTTATATTTTAATTAAAACAAATCTGATACTAAATAAACAGAAAAATATTTTTGTCAAAAATTGAATAGATTGACAATTGTTATTTTGGTTCAAAATAAAAATCAAACACACCAGTGTATTTTTTTTATAATTTTTAATAATTATATCTATGAATAATAGTATAAAAAAAATATTTATTATTTATTTAATCTTTAAAATTTATAAAAATTGAGCTATAACATTAACAAAATGTATAAAAATAAAATTTTAAACTAAAATAATATTGATAAGATATAATGAAATATATTTAACATACTTATATATAATATAAAATTTAAAATATAAACATAAATCATTGTAATCTTTAGAATAAAAATATAAAATTCTAAATCAAGCACAATCCTAATTCATTAATAAAAATAAGTAGTCTCGTAAAAAATGACTTGGTGGAGTTGGATTTGTGACCATGAAGTCATGAGTTCAAACTTCCGACGCATAATGCTGTGAAGGAAAAAAATATATTTGATGTGATATTTTTTAAAAAATAAATAGTGTCAAATGAGTGAAAGTGTCTTGTGTAAACAGCCCTATATGTTTGTTATTATTTGTAAAGATTATACTGAAATATTTTTGAAGGTGTTACGTATTATAGCAGATCGAAGAACTTAAAGCTCCCCATAGCCGTCGGATGCGGCGAACGAACTCTAACTCAATTGTGTAATTACAAATGTACCCTCCCATATTCTCAGTTCAATTGTGGTGCAATTCCCCTATTCAGAAGCCGACCCTTCTTCTTCGTCGAATTCTTCACACATTTCTGTATTATATATAATTTCTCATACTCACCTTTTCCGATCTCAATTATTTCTTCTCTATCCATTTTCTTCCATTTGTATTTCATCAAAGCTTTTTCCTTTTTAGTGTAGTTTTTTTTTTTCTCGGCATATCGGTTTCTCATTTTCCTCCAGTTTCCGCCGCGGCGCCGCCGCCCACCGGGGAATGAGACCTCCGTTGAGAAAATCCGGCGAAACAAACTATGTCGAATCTTCCGGCTGAGCTTTCCGATGTCTGCCTCACCTTCTTCCGCCTGGCCATGGCCGTCGCCGATCCATGGCCGTTTCCTTAAAACCATCCACGTTTTTCCTTAACCGAAAAACACGACTTTAGCTTTTTTTTTTACCTTTTGACGCTTTTAAAGTGAAGAAGAAGAAGAAAGGCAATAATCATGGGAAGAGAATTGAGATTGAAAATCAAACTCCGCGTCGACACACTTTTCCGGCGAGCGTTCAGCCGGAAAGTCTCGCCGGCGGAGATCTACGGCGGGATAGATCTCGCCGCGACTGCTCCGGCGAAAAAGCCATGCTCGAGACTGGTCAAGTGGACACGTGCCATTAAGACGAAGGCGAAGAGGATCCTATTCGGTGGCGATTCGGGTTCGGGTCTGGGTCTGAATCCGATTCCGAGAGGTTACGTGGCGGTGTGGGTGGGGCAAACCGCCGGCGAGCGGGTGCGGGTTCTGGTGCCGGTGGTGCACTTGAACCATCCGTGGTTTGGAGATCTGTTGAAGAAGTCGGAGATGGAATTTGGATTTGAGCACGACGGCGGGATCATCTTTCCCTGCCGGCTGTCGGAATTTGAGCGATTGCAGCACCGGATTGCGGCGGCGATACAGTGCCGGCGACGGAAGCTGCTGCCGTGGAAGAGAAATACGAGTTTTAGGAGTTGTTGAAATATATATATAAATATATATATATATATATACGAACTAGGATGACGATGAAAGAATTTTTTTTAATAGGCATTTTCTTTTTCGTTTATTTATTTATTAAGAATTTGTTTGTGTATATATATATATATTTTTGTAGTATTTTTTTTATTTTTATTATAACGTGAAAATAGCAGCCATTGCTCGAAACTGCATTGGTTAATTTTGATAGAATCTTGCAAACTATGACTGACAAGGTAAGTCGCACCGGGCGAATCACATAGGAGCCAAAGGCGTATGTTTGTAGTTACATGAAGGTTTGTTGGTTTGAAATTTTACTATTTTTGTTCTCAAAAAATGTAAAGAAATAATTGGGCAATTAGCTTATTTATGAATTTTTTATTTATTAAATAGCTTTTAATTTATTGGATTTGTTTTTTATTATTTAAATAAAAATTTAATGATATGATTTAATTTTAAATTACAATTAAATAAATTTTTAAATTTTTTTATTTGAAAAAAACACACAATTCAACCCCAAACACACACAGAACAAATATACCCGTATCACCCGAATGTTTCACACAAATATTTTTATTATAATTTTCCTTCGCACATGTATTCATATATCTTACATTGTACTCATTCTGTCTCGTCACAAATGATTCTTTTTTTCTTTTTTTTTTTTTTGTCTCATAAAAGATTTTTTTTTAATAAATTTATTTATTTTAAATATACTTAACAAATATATATTAATTTAACTAAATTTAATCTTAAAATCCACTAAAAAATCCTTTAACTAAATTTAATCTTAAAATACACTCAAAACCCTCTATTTCTATCGTTCTTTTCGATAAATAAATTAGTTTAAATTAATTATAAATAAATAAATATTTTTATTTATTTATATTATACAAAATTTTATTATTTATAAAAATGCGATTCATATTATATATATTTTATTGGAATATAATGCTAGAAATATTTAAAATGCCAACAATACTAATTATATAAAAAATAATATCATAACTTATTATTTATAACCAAATATATACTACTATTTGTTTTTACTAAAAACATACTCCATCCGTTAGTGAAAATATGTAAGAGATTTTAACATGTTTGTCATTTGACTTTATATATAAAATAATTGTATGTGTAATTGTACATGTAATAATATGTTTGTAATTTATATAAAAATTAAAAGTATTTTGATATTAATGTATGATTGAATAATAAAATTGATACTTTAAGATGAGACAAAAAAAAATACTATTTTTTTATAGAAACAAAAAAATAATAAATCAATGACTAATAACAAAAATAATCTTAAAAACAAAAATAATTCAATTAAATATTTAAAAAATATTTTTAATTAGTTTTTCAGTTAATATTAAATAATTATTTTACCAAATTGTCTAACATATAAAAAAACTAATATATTAATTTAGTTCATTAATTATTTATAGTATTTCAAAAAAATAAATAAAAAAAATATTTGTCGTACATATCATAATCTCTTCCTCACATTATATGGGCGTGGTCGTATTTTTAAAATACACAAATATATGGTGGTTGTGTTGTATTTACAAAATTATATATATTAAATTCATAAAAAAAATAAAAGATACACATAATATTAAATTCATACAAAAATAAATAAATGAACTTATTTTTTTTTTTATAACAACAAAATATAATACTATAATTAATTCTACACTGAGAATACACATATCACTTATATGTAATATCAATACGCTTCCAAAAATTTAAAAAAGTAAAAAGTTTAAACTCAAAATATTATTATTATCTACACGTTCACGTAACTAATATTCTTTCTATCCGTCAAAATTATATCAATATTTTATTTTTTATTGTCCGCTAAATTTATAATTATATATATATTTAATTTGTACTTTAATAAATAATAGTAACATTTTGCCACTATTTTCTTTTTTATCAACTACTTATAAATTTCTCTTAACATGTGGTGTCGGTGATCGTCGCCAAATATATATATAGTATCAGGGGCTATTTGGTTTAAGAATTTTATGGGATTCCATGAGATTTGGATTTTAAAATCCCATGAAATTCATGTTTTGTTAAAAAAAAATGGTGAAATTTAAAATGATTAAATTTAAAAAAATGATTCAAAATCCTACAAATAAGAGATTTTTTTTTTTAAATAATGGGATTATTTATATACTCTTAAATCTAATAATGGAAATCCCATTATTTATATACTCTTAATCTAATCCCATTATTAGATTATTTTTCTAATAAGAGATTTAACGTATACATATTTTTCTAAAATGATTCAAAATCCCATTATTTGTACCATCATTTGTAATAATCTGGGGTACTCCTATTACTTTTAAATCTCATTCTTAAAATTTTAATTTTTACATTTATATACTCTTATAAAAGAAATAATAGTATTATATTTATATAAAAAATTAAATAATATTAAAATTAATTATTATATTGAATTATATATTTAATTAAATTTATATTATTTTTATGGTACAATATTTTTTAAAATAAATTAATAAATTCATTGTTTAAAATTATTATTTATTATAAATTTTATTTGAATTATAAAATTATAGGGAGGACAATGAGTCAGGTTCAGTCAGAATTTATATTCATCCCAAATATATATTATTAGATCCGAGACTCAAATTGGATCCGATTATACTAGATCTGACCGAGACTATATCCGGTAAGACTTGATGGATCCGAAAAATCTATTTTTTTTTTTATAATTCTTAAATTTTAATTTACAATTACACATGTACTGGATTCAATGTATATTGAAATTTATGTATATTATTAAAAAAATATTATAATAATATAATGAATACGTTAAACTCAACAAATATTTTTAATATAATTATATTACTCGAAATTATTTTTTTATATGTATAGTTGATATATTATTATTATATTATACCGAACATGACCCGGATCTACGCCTAATACTCAAATTATTAGACTCAACTATAAATAAATAGATCGGAACTTTACGCGAATATATTGTCATCCTATAAAATTATTGATATCTTTTCAATTTATATTAATAATGAATTAAAGGTTTAATTTATTAAAATAAATAAAATTCACAATTATGTCATTTAGAATATAAAAAATCCAAACCCTTCAACTCATACGAAAAACAAACATGTGAGAAATATAAATCCCACCACATTTTACCAACCAAACATAATATGAGATTCCAAATCCTAAATACTCCCTCCGTCCACTTAGAAGGTTGACATTTACTTTTGGTGCGGTATTTAAGAAATAAAGTGAGTAGTTAAAAGTAGTGTAATGATATTTTTGCCCTTACTTTTTTTTTGTGTAAAAGTAATGATGTGATGTAAAGTAAGGATATTTGTGGAAAAAAGTAGGGTATTTAATGAAATGTTAACTTTGTAATTAGACATCCCAAAATAGAAATATGTAAACATTGTAAGTGGACGGAGGGAGTATAATAAATCCTATCACGTATAAATCCTACTGTGAAATCTCAATTCCACAAAAAAGTCCATGAACCAATCAACCCCTTAAACTATGTTAATTTATTTTTTATTGTTATTTCAATTATTTTTTAAAAAAATTATATTTTAATTATATTTCAAAATAATTTAAAATTTTTTATGTTGAATTATAAATATGTATCGAATAATTTGAATAAAAAAATGAACATAATACTCCCTCTATCCCGGCTATGATGTCACTTTTACCGTAGACAAAGAAATTTATGAGAGCTATAATTAGTAAATAATTAAGAATATATTAGTGAAAATAATTATCGTATAATAAAAATAATTTTATATTAAAATTAAGATAACTAAATAATTTAATTAAAATTAAAAAATTTTACAATTAGATTAAAATATATAATTTTTTTTCAAAAATGAAAAATAACACAATAAGTGGGACAGATGATCATGTTCAAAACAAAGAATAAAATTTTGTGAACATAAACATAAACATGATTGTATTTACAATATGAACAAAAATATGATCGTGTTCAGAAAATAGCCGTGAACAGAAATATGAACATGACCGTGAATAAGAGTATTGAAGCTAAATCATCTGAATTATCCAACATGGCCATATTCAATCTAGGTTTGCTACCATAAACTAAAATTAATTAATTTTGTTTGAATAAGACCAAAATTTATTAAAAGAAAAAAAAAAATGGAACCAAAATTTATAATTGTTACTAACAAAAATATATATGTAATTTTTTTGCACTTTTTTATAATACATAAGCTACTACTCCCTCCGTCCCGGATACCATTTTCACGTTGTCGTTTCTGTCCGTCCCACATACCATGTCACTTTCCTTTTCTGGAAAATGATTACACACTTTAATCTCATTTTAAATTTTTAATTTTTTTTAAAATTTTAATTAAACTAATTAGTTATCTTAATCTTAATTTATAATTATTTATATTATAGGATAATTATTTTCACTAATACATTCTTAATTATCCAGTAATTACACTTCTCCTAAAATACCGTGTCTACAGTGTAGCAGACACGGTATCTGGGACGGACGGAGGGAGTATTATTTTTATTTCAAAATTTGAACATGTTTTTCTTAATAAAAAATTTGGATTGGGTATGAAAATTAAAATTTTTTATTTAAATATGATATTTTGTAAAATAGTTGTATATTTAAAAACATACAAAATTAAACAAAAAAAACCACTAGAATTAATTTTTTTTTAAATAAAAACAATTTTCCGATCAAATCAAAATAGAAAGTGAACACGTATTAAACGGTAGCCAATGTATACTATCCATATACTAATTAATAAAAATAACTATGTATATTTTAGTTTTTATGTGATAAAAAAAGAAAAATATATTTATATTTTATAAGTTACGTATTCTAATTTATAAAGAAAATGAAATATCTAAATAAATGAAATAGTGGGTAAGCTTAATTATAAGTGATAAAAGAGGGAGGTAAAAGTGTTCTTTTTCTTTATTTTTTTATTTAAAAAAAAAAAGTGTTTTTGGGTAGTACGATTTTTTATTACTAAATAAAAATATTTTTTATATTACAAATATAATTTTTATACATAATATAAAAAATATATTAATTCAGTTTTGATTTTGGTTTTACTATTTCAATAATTATTTTTTTAAAAAAAAAAAACAAATCAAATACTTATTTTTTATTCATTATATACACTAAAATTTAATTTTACATTTAAAATATTACATCAATACACATTTACATCACTATCAAACAATTATTTCAATAAAAAAAATTTACTGTTCAAAATCAAAATCCAAAACCAAGGCTTTGTTTACACAATACACTTTCACTCATTTGAGACTATTTATTTTCAAAAAAACATCACGTCAAATATATTTTTTCTCTCACAAAACATCATATCAAATACTTCATCCGACCTAATACAATAGTCTTGTTTACCATTTTTGTCCGTCCCAAAATAATAATCTTATTTCCATAAATAACCATATCACCATAAAATTACCCCTTACTTTTTCATTTTTATTACACAATTACCACTACTTTTTACACTTATACGCTCATAAAGGCAAAAAAAATTTTATCTATATTATTTACCGACTATCAATATAATATCAATATTTTTTAAATTTGATACCCAATCCAATTAAGACTATAATTTTGAAAATGAAGGAAACTCAAAAAAATGTTTGTCTAAACAAAATATTCTCACAAATAAACACCCCTATAAAGTCCACATACTCCTACATGGGTTTAGGGTAAGGTAAAGCACAAGCAAGTATGCAATAGTGCGATCATTTATTATTTAATACTAATACAATAATAGTATTTTAAAAATAAATAAATAAATAAAAAGACATTGGTCGATCATTTCATGGTGTCTTTTTTTCATCACATAGGATAATTATCATTAAAAAGATTGCGCATGTATATGTAATATGTGGAGGCAAAGCCATGTGTGCATGTTTCTGTTAAAAAAAAAAGATATTATGGTATACAGCTGTGAATTTCCACGTTCATTAAAAAAAATAAAAATATTAGGATATAATTTGAAAAAAAATTAATTTAAAATTTGTATTTAATAATATTTTATGAAATTGAAGATATATTTCTATTTTTGTTCATTCACGAAGTATATTAGAAATTTTTTAATTTTGTGTTGTTTAATTATAAAAAAATAACTATTTTATATTTTTTTAGTAATATGGGCTCTATATTTTTCTACACATGTATTTATTTTACTATCGTATTAATACTTTTATACTAAAAATAAATGTAAAAGAATTGTGCACGGGAGATACGATATTTTATAAGTAACATAATTAGTAAATAATTATGAAATATATTAGTAAATGTAATTACAATACAATATAAATAATTATAAATTTTAAATTAAAATTTAAAATTTTAAAAATGTAATCCGTATATGTAAATATTTTCCGAAAAATATATGTGAAATATAAAACAAACGAAAACGGGGACATGAATAAAAAAGTATGAGGAAAAAAAAGTAATAAATATATTTCGAGATATTTTTAAAAGAGAAAAACATAACAAAGTTAATTATAATATTCACACATAATACGAGCCTCATGTAATCTTGTAAGTTTAAAAATATCAAAATTATACTCCCTCCGTCCCAAACATTCTGCAATATTTCCTTTTTGGTATGTAGCAAATATCATGCAATATTTTCAAAATAGGAAATAATTAATTATACTTAATCTCTGCCTCACACTTTATCTCCTCACATCATTCAAATAAAAAAATAAAATATATATTTCTCTCTCTATCACATCATCTAATTTCTAAATTATCCTATTTAATACTACTCACCTAAAAACTTGTGTCAAAAGCAAATATTGCACCTTGTTTGAAACGGAGGAGAATAATTTATACGATTTTTTTTAAAAAAATAGGAAAGAATTTATTTATATAAAAATAAAAGAAAGCCCCACCAACCCACTATTGATAGAGTTTAGTGGAAATGAAGATGGCAGAGAGATGCGAGTACAAATCACAAATCTGTCCGCCATTCAATTCAATTCATTTGTCACTCTCATATCCACAACCTTAATGCCTCCTAAATAAATTAAATAAATAATTGTTGACCTAGTCACAAAGGGTGTGTGTTTTTTTTAACTTACGTTAGAATCCGCAGCTGTTACCCGAAAGTGCTCATTGGGTAAACTTACATCAAGTGAACCATGTCTAGGCGTGGACTTGAAGGCGTCGGGTTTGAACCCATGACCTCACGGTCACAACAAGTTTACTTCCCACGCTGTCGGACCATCAATTTTAATTTTAGTTTTGTATTTAAATAATATTCCATGTGATATTTTATAAAACATTTTTTTTTTTCAAAGTATCATAGAATTTAAATATTAGAATTTTGAAAAATTAAACCCAATAAAACACACTCTTGATGTATTATATTAAAAAATAATAATAATAATACAAGCGAACAGGCCATAAGAATGTATGACTTTTGTAATAAATTTTGATTTAAAAATTAAATTTAAATAATTGTTGGATATAATATTTTAATAAGATTAGAGGATACATTTTTACAAAAAATTATAAGATTTATACGATTAAAAAAATATAAAAATTCAAAGACAACAAATCATTGAGAAAGATACAAATTAATTTAACTAATTTGGTTTGCAAATATTTGAAAATGTTGGTTAAAAAAAATTAAATGAACAGTTTTACATATAAAATTCTATTCAGTTTTATCAATTTATAATAAATTTTAATATTTAGACAGGATTTATAAATTAATAATAGACTTTGATAACATTCTCTACTTGCTCGTAATCCATATATGGTTTATTAAGAACATTAGTTCAAAAACTATTCAGATCTATCTTTATTTTATAAAATTTTACATAAAAATAAAAATCGATAAAAAAATACAAAAGATATTATTTTTTACAATTCTTTTATGAATTCCTATACCTCGCAACAAAAACAATTAAAATTATAAACACCAAAAACATACTCCCTCCTTCCGTCCACTTACAATGTTTACATTTACTTTTGGCGCAATGTTTAAGAAGTTAAAAGTAGTGTAATGACATTTTTGCCCTTACTCTTTTTTTTTTGTAAAAGTAATGATGTGATGTAAAGTAAGGGTATTTGTGGAAAAGAATATGGTATTTAATGAAATGTTAACTTTGTAATTGGACGTCCCAAAATAGAAAAATGTAAATATTGTAAGTGGACGGAGAGAGTATTTTATATGTAAAGTTTTACTAAATACAATATATATTACTTATTAGTAAATCACAAGGAAAAAGTGTAAACTTAGAGGGTTAATTATTGTAATTTACCCTTCTATCTATTCAAACGATTGAGATATTATTCATGACGCGGGAGATATAGCTCTATTGCGTTCAAACTTTTGGATGTTTTGTTGCTAACTCTTTAAATATATGTAAGGACAGATTCTACTCTGATATGACTTAATCAACATGGTGCTGATTTGAGTGACCATCATATATTTATATATATCTTAACATATGTTGTCTTATAAGATATCATATGTTTGACTTATAATATAATATATATTGTATTATAAATATGTTGAAATATGTATAAATATATGTTGGTCACCCTATATTATATTGATCCGGTCAAATCAGCACCATGACTTGATAGATCAGCCGTTGATCTATGCCCAATATATATATACATATATATTACATTTTTTTTCATAGAAAATTGTATCAAATATTTAATTTTTTTTTTATTTTTTTCAAAATTTTCCTATCTAAAGATATAATTGTTTAGGCGCATGCATGCACATTCATACGACTTTATTCACAAACTATAAGACCATGCCCTAATTCATGAAAGCAATTATTTAGTGGTGTCTAAGAATGGTTTTCATTGATTGGTCCCCATGCCTTGAATTGGCCACATTCTCCCTAAGTCAATAAAACAACTTCTAAGTGGAGCAACATTTGTCATAATGAATTAAATTGTAAGAAGAATTTTTTTTTTTAAATAATTAAAAAAAAAAAAAGACACACATGTAATGACATACACATATTTCCAATTATATATATATCTACCTACACCACTATCTCTACTCATCCAATTTTGCATGTTCACATTGACTAGTGATGTTAGTGTTGTAAAAAATTTGATCCTATAAATAGGGGCCTTAAGTTTGTGCTTCTTTTCTTCATTCATAAACTTGTAGGTCATCAAGAACATCTTCATCCATACACTCATAATTAATTATTCTTGTGGTTTTTGTTAATTAGATTTATTTGGATCAAGATTTGATTCAATATATATATATATATATATATAATTACAATGGGTCGATACGATAGTAGGTTCGTGGGCGTGGTTTTTTTGGCGTTGTTATTTGTGGACTTGGCTTTGTGTGCTAGGCTTGGGAAGACGGTTGGCGGAGGTGGCGGCGGCGGCGGCGGCGGCGGAGGAGGAGGGCATGGGGGTGGGTCGAGCATTGGTTCGAAGTCGGGTTACGGTTCAGGGTATGGGTCGGGGAGCGGGTCGGGTTATGGGGAAGGGTCGGATGATGAGGAGTATTATGGGAGAGGAGGAGGCGGGGGTGGAGGTGGTGGAGGCGGAGGCGGAGGTGGTGGCGGAAATGATGGGTATGGGTCAGGGTATGGGTCGGGTTCAGGATATGGGTCTGGATATGGGTCGGGGTCTGGGGGTGGGAAAGGTGGCGGTGGTGGAGGAGGCGGAGGGGGTGGCAAAGGGGGTGGTGGCGGTGGCGGTAGTGGCGGCCATGGGTATGGAAGTGGTAGTGGGTCAGGGTATGGGAGTGGTAGTGGCGGAGGAAAAGGGGGTGGCGGCGGAGGCGGCGGTGGGGGAGGCGGTGGAGGTGGTGGTGGTGGTGGTGGAAGTGGAGGGCATGGATCCGGGTATGGTAGTGGGTCGGGCTATGGTGGTGGACATGGAAGAGGGAGTGAGCCTTAGAGCTATAAAATTATTATCAATTGATACATGAAAACTTTTTATTTTTATTTGAATTTAGGGACACAAGCATATATTATGATATATACGTATATATATTCATATCAAATAAATAAATTGTATGGCCACGTGTCGCCTATTGATTGGTGGTCTAGTGGTGCATGCTGCTCCAATCCTATGTAATTCATCTTGCTTCAATTTTTTTGTATAATATAGTGTTGTTATTGTTATGAAATAAATAATCAATAAAATTCATTTGTAGTTAAAAAAAAAAATATACATGTGTTTGTTTGTATTTTGGAAGTTTTGATGTTTTGGAGTAAAAAAATATGTATTGAAGGTAATTTAGATATATATAATAAATATTGTCTTATATTTATGAAAGAAAAAATACTCCCTCCGTCCCAGATACATGTCCACGTTATCGTTTCTGTCCGTCCCACGTACCATGTCACTTTCCTTTTTTGAAAAATGATTACATACTTTAATCTCATTTTAAATTTTTAAATTTTATTTTTTTAAAATTTTAATTAAATTAATTAGTTATCTTAATCTTAATTTATAATTATTTATATTATAGGATAATTATTTACACTGATACATTCTTAATTATCTACTAATTACACATCTCCTAAAATACCGTATCTTCAGTGTAACAGACACGGTATACGGGTAGAAGGGGGTATTTTATTGTACTATAACATAGCGCAAAAACAAGCACAACACAAACAAGTACACTCATTTTTATTTTTTAATTTTTTTATATATGTTTTAAATTTATGCAAGCATTCATAATCTTTAATAATAAATGTGGAAATCAATTTTAACCTTATTTCATAAAATATATTTAAAAAATTAATTAATCAACTTATTCATATATCATAATTCATTTGTGTTATCTTAACGACAACTTTTAATCTCCTCAACTTTAGCCATTTTACATAAATATTTACGCATCTTTCACTCCCACACTATCGTGTCATTCTTTAATAATCAGAATTTATGCTCCTTGTCGTTGTTGTTAAGATTGATACCTTTTTACTTAGTAATTTTTTAAGGCCAAGTTGATTGGATAAATTTTAAATTTTGATTTTCAATTTTTAAATAAATATATTTTAATTACTAAAAAATTGATTTTTTTTTTCTTTTTATAATTAAAAACCTTTTTTCTGGTTATAAAAAAACATATAATTGATATTGTATTGGAAAATATTTAAAATTTTAAATTAAATTGAAATATTCTCAATGTGACCTACATTGTTACTAGACATTTCTTTATTCAAGTAGATTTGCATGTAAAAATAAATAGTATTATAAATTAATTTAAGATTAAATTATCAATTAATACAAATTATCTTTGAATGCTGATTGTGTTACAATTCTTGGTTGGCCTGATTGTGGTAGCTCTAAAATTTAGGTAGTTTTTAAGAGACTTAAAATAATAGAAAGTCGGGTGTTCTTATTATTATTTTAAATTCAAATCAGCACTCTTTATTATGTGTGTTTTTTAATAAAAATATATTATTATTTGTTAGTAAAACATCATATCAAAAATACTATTTAAGTAAAAATTAATTTTATTTTAAATTACAAATAAACAAATTTCGGATGAAAAATAAATATTTTGTTTGATATAAATAATTATTAAAGTATATTATTTGTGTAGAGTTTTAGTTTGAAATATTATTTTTTTTTTTTTTTGTAAAAGCATAGCCGTTGTTGGAACGGTAGCTTTTTGGCAAGTTTTGTTTTATTTTTATTTTTTTGTACAACGTTCCTAGAATCAATTATTTATTTGATATTTATAATACTTATAGTTTAATAAAATATATACAATATATATATATATATATATTATTTTTTAGATAATAAAATTTTTATAATATATATAAATAAAAATTTAAAAATATATATACAGATATAATATAAATTTATAACTAAATCATACTATTATTAATTTTAAAAATTTAAAATTAATATACATTTATATTATTATATTTATTACTCATTAAATCAACTCATATAAAAAACTTCTTAACCCCCAAATAAATCAAAAAAACACAAAATAAATACAAAAAACTTAAAATTATCTTAAAATTCAAATAAAAATAAAATTAAAACTCAAATTTTCCCAAATTTGCTAAAAGAAACACACCCTTAGTTTATAAACTTGTACGTGGCAAGCAATAGCAAGTGGTAATTTCACGGTTACGAGTTTAGTCTTCGTACCACTAGCATTGTTAGAAATAATTACACTAATAATTCGTCCGGATATAAAAATTATTTACATCGATATTAATTAATATATAATTTACATTTAAAATATTTTTAAAAATAAAAAAAAATATCACACTTTATTGTAAATATCACATTAACTAAATTTAAGATAATTAAATTTTTAATACATATTTTTTAATAACAAAGAGAATCGACTTCTATCTAGTCTTCGCATCACACATATTCTTCTAGGTTTTTTCCAGCTCCACATCATATTATTTTTTTAATATCACTTTAATAAATTTTTATTTATTTAAAATAAAATAGTTTTTATCATTTATAAGACGATAAAATTTTACTACATGATAATCTAAAAATAAAACAATTGATAAAATTATTGAGTGTGTTGTATTTTAGCATGCATTCCTTATACATTACATACGAAAATTATATAATTAATTTTAAAAAAAATATTAGGAAATTTAAAATATAATTAAAATTTATAATTATATTTTTCGAAAAAAAGGCAAATAGACTGAAACAAACCGAAATAAAAATAACGGATAAAAAAAAATAGAAAGAAGATAATATTTTATATTTAAATTATTAATTATTTTAACCAGATAAAATAGGAGTATGTTATATTACCTCATGTACGGATATTTGAATATTAATTATTATATCAAAATATAGGAGAAATTAAAAAAAATTACAAAATATTTTTATTAATATTTTATAATACTAATAGAATGGTACTTGTACAAAAAATTATATAAATAAATAATATTTTTAATATTGCATGCAATGATAGTAAATATAAATATAACTTTAGAGACGGAGAAAATATTTTTTATAATATTTATTAAACATTATTTTACAAAAATATTGATATAATACATCCATTATAATTATACTACGTATAAAAAAGTAGAGCAGCCGATAATTTTTAAATGATTTTGTTTAAAGGAAAAATGATGATGTGGCGCTTAGGTGGGACCGTGGGATTGCAGATGCTCTATCTGCGCAAACAACGTAAAATATACACCGTCGATTATCGCACAATCAACGGTTAAAGATTAGAATCCAAACACTAGTAAAGCCACCAATCATATAAAAGTCTAACACAATCTCAAACAGTCAATCTCCGCCGTCCATATTTTAACAAATCCACGGTTCAAAATGCACAATCCGAGTCGAACTAAATCGACCAATCACAGCACGATACTAAATCTCTACATAAACACAGCGACTCCTCAACCATTCCCCACTCGTTCAATCAATCTTCTCTCTTCAACAGTAGCAACAGTTCACCGAAAGATTCTCAAATTCAATGGCGCCGAAAGCAGAAAAGAAGCCGGCGGAGAAGAAGCCAGCCGCCGAGAAAGCCCCGCCGGCGGAGAAGAAGCCGAAAGCCGGTAAGAAGCTACCGAAAGAAGGAGGCGCCGCCGCCGCCGGAGATAAGAAGAAGAAGCGGACGAAGAAGAGCGTGGAGACTTACAAGATCTACATCTTCAAGGTGCTGAAGCAGGTGCACCCTGACATCGGGATCTCGAGCAAGGCCATGGGGATTATGAACAGTTTCATCAACGACATCTTCGAGAAGCTTGCGCAGGAGGCGTCGCGGCTGGCGCGTTTACAACAAGAAGCCGACGATAACAGCTCGTGGAGAGTTTGAATGGTGATATTAAGAACATGCTGAAGACTAGGCTCGGGAAATGGAAGGGCTCTTCGCGACGCAGGCAGTGCTGAGAAAACGCTAGGAGGATTTAACCAAAGGATTGAAGGAAATGCAGGATGAGAAGGAAGCACTCGAGCAGCAGCTGCAAATGGTTTTGATGAACAGCGATGTTCTGGAGGGATGGATAAGGGAACGAATCGAAATTGGGGGGTAACGATGTCAGCAACATCGACATTGACGAATGCTTTGAGCCCTGTGATGCTCTGTCCAAGCAAATGTTGGATTGCACGGCGTCGGATTTGGCATTGGAGGATACCATATATGCTTTGGACAAGGCTGTGCAGGAAGGAGCAGTGCCATTCGATCAGTACTTGAGGAATGTGCGGCTTTTGGCACGAGAGCAGTTTTTCCATCGTGCCACGGCATCCAAAGTTAGGGCCATCCAATGCAGGCTCAGGTTGCTAGCATGGCTTCCAGGGCGCCGCCTTCCACTATGCATTCTGACGAGGTTGTATGTATATTCTTTATTGTGATATTGTTTTGTTTTGTGTGCGGTTTTGGTGATAAATAATATTTGTTCTTCTTCATTCTGATTTTGTGAATCATATTTTCGGGATCGATAACATTTGTGTTCTCTGGCAGGGGTTTTCATTTTATTTTCCAAACAACACATTAAGCGTGAAGAAATTGAGGATAAGTTTGAAAGGTTTTTGTTCGCACAGCTTCACATTGGGCATTATGAAAGTTGATACAGTTCTGTATTTTTGTCTCAATGAGTTTATAGGTTATTTGGATTAATGGATCTATAGCCGTGGTGTTGGTATGTTGTTTTGAAGAACCACTTTCTTCGGATTGTAGCCATTATCGGCAATTTTTGATTATTGAACAGCGTGGTATAGCAATTTTGTTATGATTGTACAGCACAGTGGGTATAAGAAATACTTGTATTTGGTGCACAATTATATCTGTGTCTTTGGCTGCCCCGCAAGGATTTCATTATGTCTATTTATGATTATACGGCAGATAGTGTTTTTTTCATGGACATTGTTCACTGGGTCTGCTCATACTTGATGTATGCTTTGGCTAGGAAGGTTGATTGATTTGTGCGGGTAATTTGATAGCGTAGTATGAGAACATGCTGGAATGCATATTATTATTACTTTGAATTGAAATGATCGTTTTGTGCCTAAGTAGCTAGTTTCTTCTATGACTTTATTTCAATGGTTGGTTGTTAGAATTTACGGGGAAATCATAAAATGAAATTGCCTTAGCTAGCAGCGTAGCAGAGTTAAGACGTAATAGTGTACTTGTGTTTAAGGTAAAGGCCTAATGAAGGGATCCAAGTCGCAGATGTTTCATGACCTGCTGTTCGGACATTTTCACTAACTTGTATGTATGGAACACATAGTGTAGTGTAGTTGTGTATCTGATGACCCCATCCAGCTTTCGCAGCGTTTTCTTGATCTAAGATCCTTTGTTCCTCAGCGCGTAGAACATTAATTTCATCATATTATATTGTATATAGCCTTGATTGACATAACAAGAGAAGTATTAATTGTAGAGCTGAATTATGAACAATAATGACTACGGATTTGTTCTTGTTCTATCAAGTCCTTAGTTAGCTCTATTTTAACACTGTTAATTGTTAGTCATCATATTTTTTTTATGCAAAACGCAGGCGCAGGCTGTATTCCATTGCGAGCACCCTTAGCTTGGTACTCGAATCTCTACCCCTTTGTGCGACTGATGGAAATCTTCAAAATGCAGGTACGTTTTAAGGGATAATGTTCTGGTCCAGCTGCGAGCGAGGACCCTATTTTCAAGTTTTCATCTGGTAGACCTTGTCATTACTGTTATAGACATTGCGATCTTGGATCGAGTGAAATAGTGTGTCCCGAGGTATTGGTTTTCTATAGTTTGGTCCCTTTTGTAGGAGAAGAGTACTGCCCCTGCTTGTAATGATACAAAAGGGATAAATGAATGCTCGATTAGCTCTTGGCCGGCTTGTTCCCGGAAATTAAACCAATTTGACGGATAGCCAAAGGATTGGGGTGAAAATTCTCGAGCAAAGGCGCTATAAAACGATGCTTCCTTCAGCACCAGGCTGCCTCAAATCCGAATAAATCCGGAATACAGCTTTTGCCATATTTGATTTCAGGCATATGTATGAATTGTTAGCATCATGTGGCCCTTGTATGTTGTCTGTTGCGAAATTGAGAAAATCAAGGTAGAAAAGTACACATAAAAAGAGATACAATTTGGTGACTCGATTCAAAAGAGTTAGGGTATGTTTTTTTTTTCATGGGTTGGGAAAATTTTGGTTTAAGTTTGATATTAAAATAATGTATGATGTGATGTTTTGTGTGAGAAAATAGTGTATTTTTTCTCGAAAAACTGCAGAGTCCAAATAATAAAAACTAGAGCCGACAATAGGTCGATTCGTGTCGGGTTGAACCCTTTAAACGAGTTAAATTACTCAATCCTAACCTGACCCGTTTATGATCGTGTTGGGTTCATGTTGACCCGTTTATTATCGTGTCAGGTTCGGGTTGACTCGTATACATAATTCAAATTAAATAATTTTTTGTTATGTTAGTTTTTATTGGTTTGAGCCTAAATTAGGTTGAATTATTTTTAATTGAACTTAGTTTAAATTAATTTACGAGAAAATTATTAAATTATGATTATTTTACATATATAATAAATATATTAATTAATATTAATATATTATAATCAGGTTGTAGTGTCGGGTTCGAGTTGAGCTTCAACCCTAACCTGACCCGTTTACTATCGTGTCGGATTCGTGTCAACCCGTATACGTTGTCGAGTCGGATCAATTTTTGCTAGCTCCAGTAAAGACATAGGATTTTTGATAAAAGAAACAAACTCTTAGTTTTTTCCCCATGAGTAAAAGTGAGGTACTAAAAATGTACAGACATGAATTTAAATTAATATAATACAAATATAATATATAGAGTCGCTTGCATAACCGTAATTGAACCAAAAGTCAAATGGCGTTCAACTCAATCAGATTGTATTGCAATTTTACATCAAACAGTAACTAAGTAGTTGATATTATTAAGTAAATCATATTCCAAGTTAATTTCAGCAATCATAAAAAAGAACATAACAGCACCTTAATTAATTTTCAACTTGCTCCAAACCAATCAATCAATCTAATATTCAATTCATGGTAAGTTATCATATCACAATACATAAAAATTACCAAAAAAAAAAAAAAAATCGGATCATTTTCTTCCCAACAGAATATATAGATGAATAAATCGAATCAAATTAGCCAAGCTAACAAAACAGTACAAGTAAAAACAAAAACAAAAACCTATTTTAGCTAGAAGCCGCTGAAGAAGAGATTATCCGAATATCCGAGCAAAGGATATTCACCAATTGAATCGTCCGGCTTCAAAATCATACTACTCTTTCCTTCGATCAAATTATAGACTATAAAATGTCCGTGAGAAATAACTATTAGCTCGCTACCATTGTCGTTCAGGTACATCTTGCAACGCCATTCGCACAACATCACCCACGGAATCCGCAGGCCATCAAATTCCATCCATTCTTTATCGGTTTTCTTCACCATAACACGGCATGTATCACTGTCAATATCACCAATGATCATGCAAAATTGGCTGGGCGAACAATCGACAAGACAATATGTATTTTCAACGCTCGCCCCTGTGTTGTAACGAAATTTATAAAACTTGTCGTCCCTTGTGTCGAAGAAGATCATTTCAATATCATAAGTTTCAGATTCTCTTTGATCTTTAACCCTTTTACTCAAACAGATCATATGGTCATCCAAACGGAAGTTTTTAATGTCATCTTCGATTGTTATCTCCACTATACTTCTCAATTCTTTCCAACGATGGCTTATGTTGTCGAACACTGCGTATTGCTTTGCCTTCATATCGGCGACTACTATTTTGTAATCCTTCGACATTTTATCGAAAGTGATGCCATATGCAAAATTACACGGAGACTGAAAAGGGAATCCCAAATTAATATTCTTCCTGGCAGATGGATTCCAGAGGATAATAGAATAGTGTCCATGAATATTGGAAGAGACGAGTATTAGGCCATCGCAGCATTGCCCTATCTCGAGGTGGCAGCCTGGATCCGAGCAGTATTCGAGGTCATTGCTCAATGGCTTCAATCCATCGTCTTCCAATTTGGAGAGACGGAATGCCTTCTCAGGACGGGACAAAAAAAGAAACATATGTTGATAGAACGATGACGATGAATTCTTGGATTGACGGAAATGTGCTATGGCAAAGTCCTTATCTGAGATGATATCGTTCCATGATGCGGAGACGCTTTTGAAACGAAGGAGAGACTTGACGGGAAGTCGTGCCAAGATGAGTTCTAGAACATCGAGTGAAACTGATTCCATTCTACTATATATATTGTTACTTAAATTTTAGGAAATCAAGAAGAGACAAAAAAAGACAAGAACTGTCAACTTAGAAATTTTACTATAAAGTACGGAGGCACATAGATATTTATAGATAAGTTATGCCAATAATATCCAAATCATATGTAGAATATAATATCTAAATCATATCCCAATATATATATATAAATATAATGTTTTGTTCATGGAGACTTTATTTATGTTATTAGGATTTTACGTATTGTATTTAGGATTTTGAAATCGTATCATATCATATGTTTGGATTTATATTTGTCAAATCTAGTTTGTTTTGCAAATTAATTAAAAAATTTAGATTTTTATATATTAAATATCATAATTATCCTCGAATTTTATTTATTGTGATAAATTAAACTTTACATATATCTATTTTTTTGAACTATATTTATTCTTTTTACCAAATTATATCTATTTTTTGAACTATATTTATTTTTTTTACCAAATTGAGCGTGTTCTAATAAAATATTTTAATGCAATTTTCGATTAATGTTAAAAAAATTTATTGTGATAAATTAGACTTTAAGTACATCTATTTTTTTGAACTATATTTATCTTTTTTACCAAATTGAGTGTGTTCTAATAATATATTTTAATACAGTTTCGATTAATTTTAAAAAATTTTATTGTGATAAATTAAGCTTTACATATATCTATTTTTTTGAACTATATGTATCTTTTTTACCAAATTGCATGTGTTCTAATAAAAAAATTTAATACGATTTTCGATTAATATTAAAAAATATAATATATAGGTTTATACAAAGTATATAATATATAATTTATACATTTAAAATACAATAATTTAATATAAAATATTGTTTTTTATATTACGGATAAAAAATACAAAATTAATACACCAATCAAATAAATTTAAATTAATAATTAATTTAAAATATCACTAGTAATATATTTAAATATAAATAAAATTAATTATTATAAATAAATAGATGTATTTGTAGTAGTATGTTCAAATAAAATATTATATCTTCATAAAACCCTAATAAAAATATAAATATATATATACACACATAATATTAAAAAAATAAAAAATATTATATTTTGTTGGGTGGAAGAGTATGATGATAAAATGTGAAAGATCACAAGTGGAGAATTAAACGTAACCAAACATATATATAAATATATTAATATTTAAATATTATTTTTAAAAAATCGGACTGAATCAGACACGATCCGGTTCATTAACGTGTTGGGCCAGACACGGCCCAAAAATTGTTGAGACTTTTTTGGAGATCCAATCACAATTCTTTCGCGCCGGATTGGGCTTAGTTTTGCCACTCCTAGTGTTTACCTATATCTTTTCATTAGTCCCTATAAATATTACCAAAAC